GACGTTCATGAAGCTACATAGTATTCAATTTTTTGATGTAAAAAATGTCTCAAGCGTCTTTACATTCATTTACCGACTTTATTATTTGTCAAACTCATCTTTATACTAATGGACTCCGATATAATTGTCCCAAATAGCACTGACGCAAAGTTATACTCGCCAATTTCTTTGCATCTCAAAATGACATCAAAAAAGAACTGAAAAACCGCCGTCTTATTATTTGCGACTTCTACTATTTTCCCTATGACTTGGGAGACCTTAGTGATCTCCGCAGAATATTTTTTAACACTTGCGTTATTCTCCATAAAGTCACTTGGACGGAGATCTCTTAAAATCCATAAATCAAACAAAAAAAGTTGTTCGGCAAACACTTGAGGGTCAACTTCCAATATAGTCTTTTCAATTCCATTTTCAATTTGGACGATCTCCGTTATTAATTGTTCGACTCGCATTTTTTCGTGAAAGTTTCTTTTCAAATCTTCAATTTTAAGAAACCCTACTGGTGAAATTACCCTCACACCTTTTTTGGGCTCGGAAAGGGGCATTTTCATGACAATGTTCTCGACGGTGATTTTAAGTGTGTTATTTGTGTCTTCTTTTGGTTTGTGAAAATCTGGTTGTGTGCCCAAAATAGCACTCTGCTTTGTGTAACAAATGTCTGTTGTTTCACGAAGAGACAAAAATGATTTTGGAAGGTTGGAGATATCAGAATCGCTGTTTGCACGCGTCCGATGTGATTTCCGTGGAACAACATTTTGGGTTGGCTTTTTGGATGACGTTTTGACACCAACCAACAAATTTGGCGTCATTTCCTGAAGTGCAAAATGTGAGAGTGTTTCACATTTTGCAATTGAATTTTGTGACATCACTTTTCGATAGTAAAAAAGGTACATTTCACAGATTTCACACACTTTTTTGCACTCATAAATGCTCCGAGACTTGTTGATTTCCAAACACTTTTCTTCAATTTGTAATAAGAAATGTTCGTCGGACCATATTGACCTGAAGCTCACCAAAAGTGGTGCAACGGTGTTGTTTGCCAAAAATTGGTTGAAAAGAGATTGAAAAGCTATAAGTGGTGTAACAGAAACCATCACAAATTTTTCAGTGAAATAGGGTAACAAATTTCCTTCGTATTGAAACAAATTGATT